ATTTACTGCGGAGTAAATAATGGGCCACAGCTACACAGTAACAGGCAGTTCAGACCAGGACATTGATTAAAAGAAAAAAAATTAAACACAGGCTTTCCCACACAGTTCTTTTTGGTAAAACACTGAGCTCAGATTCATGGAAAGCTGCTTATTCAGACTCAGTATGATGGTGTTCACTAGATGGGAAAGGACACAAAATCCTCAAAACAGAAATGTGAAAACTCAGTGCTCTGTAGAATCAGAGGAGAGAAATCGGCGATAGAATGATGTTCATTTTGATGGCACCAAACCAGCTAATTATGGGCAGAAGTTTGCATCTCACAAGCACCAACAGGTGTTCTCTTCTCTTTATCATAAATGGTTGTATTTATTACCTGTGCATCAACTGGAGGATCTTTTTATTTAATCATGTTTTCTGTTTGTAACAATCAAGAAACCACAAATCACCTTTACTGTTAGTACACAAAGTAGCCTGAGACCTTCTTCCCTTGCTTACTAAACAAATCCCACATCCCTCCGCTCCCTCGCAACAAAAGAAAGGCCTAAGAGCAGCCAAAGCAGCAGGAGAGATGTAAAACTCCGCTGGGTACATGCAGAGTTGCACACCCTCCTCTCCCATAGAAGCCAAGGAAGCAGCTGTCCTCTCTCTGCTCACTGCCGGCAGTGCTCCCTATGCAGAAGTGACAAGAAATAAAGTAGGAGTCTCAGGTCTTAGCTTCACACACCCAGAGAGCTGCTATTTTGCTGGATGCGGGGAGGTGATACGGTGACAATGAGCCACCACTCTTGCTTGCACCCTGACAGAAGGGTAACAGTTTACGTCCACCCAGGAGATGCCTGTTCCCGAGATCTGGTAGTTGGTACCTGACAACTGAAAACCGAGCGGCGCAGCTTGGTGGGAAACACACCGCAAATCCTGGGATTCCCAAACCTGCCTTGAGTTGCTGCCATGCTGGGCTTTATCTGTGACATTATTTTATTTGGATTTGTTATGCTCAGGCAAACAAAAAGCGTCTCCAGATTTATTGTGACTTATCTCAGTTCACTTTAAGCAATGAGATCTCAATCTGGAGCCCATCCATGCCCATGCCAGACACACACGCACACACACAGAGAAGTTTTTCCAAACTTGGCAACAAGAGAAGAGAAACAATCTGGAAAGATTTTGGGGAAAGGGTGCAGTTTTCTTGTCATCCATCCAGTCTCTCCACCAAGTTCATAAGGCGTATTAACTCCGTATGCATCATACAGAGCTATCCCACTTGATGGCCTGTAGGAGTCTGTACTTCCTATGATTTGAACATCATTACTGTTCACTGTGCTCATGATGACTTTAATTCATCTTTGTTGATCCTCAAGCCGAGAACCAGAAGAGGTGACAGTATCTACCCGTACACCTACCTGTAGCCACAGTAAGGACTCTAATGAGCTAGTTGCCCAGGTGTGCATAGACTGACTCCTTACATATGTATTGGCAACTATTAGGACTTTGTTAAGAAATCCTAGGGTTATCGAGAGGTGAAGTGGAAGAACCGCATCTTGACAAGGATCAAGTCCCAACAGCAATTTTAAATGGACGCTGTGTATCAAATACTTTGCGTACCTGCACGGCTCACAGTGACAGCTGCAGAACAGCCATGTGTGTAGAGTAATCCTCTAGTTACACTATAATAACAGATTTTAAACGGTGATGAAAATATTTTAAATTCAAATCCAGA